CAGCTTAAAAATTTAGCTTAAAAGCAATTATATCTTGGTAACCAATCAAAAACAACCAAAACAGACAATGAACTATGGTTTACCAGCTTCATCAGAAATTGGGGTAATTGTAACTATTTCTACGTTCGAACTAGTGAGCCTTTCTTCCATAACTTGCTTCAGTATTGACAACGCCATCTTCTCAGCCTCTTTTAAAGTGATATTCTAGAAAAATTTAAATATTTGGCACAATTACCAGAAATTTACTCCATACAAGTCAAAAAGACTCAAAAAGACAAAGTCCACCATCAAACTTCCTTTCCAACTTCATACTCTCTACTCTAAGACTTGAAACTTCGGAAGAAAAAAGAATCTAACTTCGTAGTACTGTTCTTTCAAATTCTGCTCAGCCCCATCCGATGCTGCTCCGATTGACTTTGCCAAACAATCGATAAACGTACCCGACGGGTCCAGATGGTACCTGAAAATAAACACTACGCATTTTTTAATCATCACAGTATATTGGTCTAAATTATAAAAAGCACAGCAATTGACAATACGGATGTAAGTATTGTAGTTTACAAATAAGAACCAAAAACGGAATCGCAGCAGTAAATACGAACAATTTAGGGCCCTCCTGATCAACACCAGCAAATAATAGTGCAACTCCAAATGGACGTGACATAGATGCCTGAAACCAAATAACTGTATAAAGATTAGATATATTCATACACAAAACTTGCAAGAAGATCCAAACCTTAGCGTCGTCATCACCAAACTGTAGTGCCAGATTTGCTACTGACATTGTTACGTCTTCAACCTTCATCTTCCGATTGTAAGTAAACCAAAAATTTTGAGCTTCTATTTGGGCACGCTCAACCAAAGTTCTTGCGTCTGCGATAAGTCCAGCAAATGAAACCGCTAAAAATCCTTTTCAAAAAAAAAAGAAAGCAATTCAATTTCAGAAATAAGTTGTAGCCAATTTATTTACGCTCATATGATGTTGAGAGCGAGCCAAATTAAAAAATTTTTTTGGTTTGCTTCACCTCAAAAACCTTACCCTTTTGGATTTAAACACTGTCTGAATCGAAATCTACACCAGCAACTACTTACTTTTCATCTGCATCTGCAGCTCAACAAACTTTCTGAAGCTATGATCACCTCAAAACCACTATTTTTACAGACTCAATTCTCTTTTAAAATGATAAAAGTAAAGTACTTTACACATCTCAATATATAAGAAAAGTGAAGGTTCAGGTAAGACAATAAAACTGTTTTTTCTGAGCTGCAAGCCTCATATGTTTTACTCTCAGTGACCTTCACAGTACCTCATCCACAGACTTCTCTTTTCTCGAGCTTTAATATTACAGCCATTTTAACTCACTTCCTGTTTAGAGGAGCAAACGAACAGGTAAAATAACTTTCTCCTCCAGACACATGAGCTAAATAAAGCTCTAGTACCTTGAATTAGGTGAAAAATTAACCATCACTTCTAAGAAACAATGAATTTTAAGAAACTAACTCGAGAGTAGTTTGAAAATGCATTAAATCACAGCCGAATCGTTTAGCCACTAAGTATTAGATTTCTGTATTAACTCACACTCTTCATCACACAGAGTTACAGTACTCAAAATGCGTCTTTCTTACGAAGTAATCAACCTCAAAAAAAAAACATCTCCAGTTACAAAACTAATACTTTCAGATACTCAAAATTCAGCCAAAATATTCTACCGATTAACATGTCTATACAATACTACTGGAAGCATACCAATGTGAGTGTCCACCTTTGATATTTTCTCATTAGATTCTTTAACCATGAGTTTCGAGGTAGCACGTTTTTCTGCTGCCAACACAATTCCTTCATTAGTCCTAATCCCAATACTAGTCGATCCTAACTAAATATATTTCAAATTCAAAGAAGAAAAAAAATTATTTAAATAATTTTAAAAGCTATTTCTTGGATCAATCAACAGAAAAATACACTCTTGATTTTGCCAACCTTAGATAATGATTCTGAAATCTCTCAAATCAGTTCTCGATGTTTATGAGGTGGGGTAACTTCAGAAGCAAAATATATTTGATTTTAAAAAACGTCTATTTTATCGACTTTTACTTTGATGTCTTAAACTGAAAAAACTCCCACCTTAACCGATGAAAATGGTAGTTTTCAGGCACACATAAACCTTATAAATTTAAAAAAAAACCTTTACGGCCTCCATGGCATACTCTACTTGGAAAAGACGGCCTTCAGGAGAAAAGGTATTGACTCCTCTATCATATTCGCTCCGAGTGAGGAACATCGCAACAACTGACCAAGAATACAATATAAAACAATACCTGCTGAAACTCAAACAAAAAATATGAAGATGAATTTAACGAATGAAAATATAGGTTTACCAAGCTTTGAAATCTTCAGATGTTCTTCCTCACGTATTTCAATATTCTATCCATGGTCATTTATCAACCCTCTGCATGGATATGCAAATGTAAGCATACGAAAGTCCTCTGTTACATTACACATTCTCAATGCTAGCAACTGTAATGCTGTAAGATTCGCTATTTGGCTATAACTATAAAATTCCGACCAAGAAAAATTTTTTGAGAACAACTTTGAACGTAAATTGTCTTAGCGCCAAATCCTTCATGCAGCCATTTACCTCGTAATCACTTCGTACAGTAAAAATAAGTAACTTAAACAAAAAGCGGCAAGACTGGTAACGACACTAGTGCTATTGCAATTGAGAGTGGCTAGCTCCAAAAATGCCTTTTTTGAACGTCAAATTTACTTCATTTTTTGTACGCAAGATCTTTGCCCCTGCCTGATTCGTTGTGAAACTTTTAGACCCGTTTACTTGGTTCTTTCTGACTTTTTAACGACCTAATTCTAAAGTGTCGCTTTAATCTTTCTGCCAGTTTATAACGCGGCTTCAAACTCACCCACACGTGCAATTCCTCTACTCAAAGTTCTCACATTTTATGATCATTTACTCAAAATTAAACGTTTAACTGCAATTTCGTATTTGTATGTATAAAACACTACAAATGGCACTAAGTGAGTTTTATGTTTAGAAGGTCTGTTTTTACCATCTTGTAAACCTGACTTACTGCTTCTCAGTGTGAGAGCGAAAAAATAAAATCCTGTGCTGTAACGTCTCAACAGCTACACCTTCTTCTACATCTTCGTTTTAAACATTTTTTGCTTTCTATCACCTCGTTTTGACTAGACTGCATTTTTCATAACCCGTGCTCATCCACCCTCTTTTTCGTCAAACCCTTCTTCTCAAGATTACTTCTTCCATGCTTTGACTTCTTTAGATTAAGAAGCAGCTGGAAAGGTTTATAAAGTAGTAAAAACAGACTTAGAAACCTCTAGAACATAGACTTACTGAATGCCACCCGTTGAGTCCTAAGTACACAACTGAAGCGCTGTGATTACGTTTTCTTGGCAGGCAGGAAAGTGACCAAGATATGCTAGAACTGTGCTCAAAGGAGCTGCACAAGATGGGGATTTGAACGTCTTCCAAATGCCTAGAACAGCGGTTGCAAAATCTACTTGCAAACCATCCCACCACCCAATCACCTTGAAGCAGCACTGTGGACAAGCAAAAAGATTAAGGTGACGGGGTCGAAAATTACGTATACAAAAAATGAAGGATGACGATCAAAAAAAGCATGTTGGGGAGAAGTGGGGGTGGGGGGCACTTTTAACTGCAATAGCACCTCGACACTTGCTTGAAACCAAATTGAAAAAATTTTTGAATCAATTAACAAATTACCATGCTGAAAGTCGACGACGATAAATACCATCAACCAAAAAGATACACTTATTTGCTACTGCGTTTTTGAACAAATTTATCGTTCAAAGCACTACAAAAGCTTTCCAAAAAAGAACAAAATCAGCGTAATACCGACGAATTTTCTATAATAAAATAATAAGAAAAACAGCAACCACTACTAGCAACCATATACACTATATTAGAGCCTAAGAGCACGATCATATCCAACAAGACAAGGTATGAAGAAAGAAAAAGAAATTGAATTTTGAGAACCACTTTCAACAGCCCCTCATGCAAATACTCATCTAGCCGTAGTGGAACGGGCGGCACCTAATATTTAGCCAAAAACTTCTGGCAACTTGTCAACATTTTTGACTGTTTATTCACTGACGCAGCACAAAATATTAGACTAACTTATAGATATGTATAAAAGTAACAATAAATGACTACTTTTAAAATTAATGAAAGATGGACCAGTACTTTGTGATGATCGTCTTTTATTGGCTGTTTAGAGGGGTTTCTTTTTTTTTTCAAATGTTCCTCTATCAATGAGATTTATTCCTCTATTTTCGTTTTTCTTTTTTGATTTGATTTCTACGGAAAAATTTTTTGATTTTTAGAGACTGTATACGAAAAAATATTTCTCCTTTTTCATTTCCTTTCTGTACTTCTACCGCTATTAGGAAACGAAAATGAATTTCTATGGATTTCACTATTTTTTGTTCCTTATGCATGCGCTGAATAAAGTAATTCTGTAATCCAGTATTCTTCGTTGTGAACTGATTTTTCAACAAGGTCATTATTGATATACATATAGATTTTTGATTTGATTTTGCTTTTAACATTGGTCGTAGTTTTTGCTCACAATTCTCGCTTAAATTTGGCTTCATTTGTTGAGTCCGTTTTTAAGTTTGTTGTTTCAAAAACATTGATGCGCTAATATTTGAAATGCGCATATATCTATAATAATAGGTATATATATACACCTATTATTATAGATTTCAGAATAAGTTACTTTTAGCTTATTGGTGGTGAAGTTGAAATTATTGACTTTCTCAAAAAGTAGCATTTAGTTTTTGAGGCTAACAATAAGCAGAAGTTAGTGGAGGCGTAGACGAAGTAAATCAAAGTCAATGAACTTTTCCTGATAAATCTGAGATTATACACTATGTTGCTTTTGTTCCCTATGTGTCTCAGTTGGCATGTTAATCCAGGGATATCATTTGTTATTTGGGTACTTTTTACCATTGTACTTTACAAATGTCGTTCCATTTATTCGATTTTGTAGAAATATTGTAGTGAACTTTGTTTTTCACTAAAACTTAAAAATTGCACCGACGGTTGGACATCAAACTATTGTTTTTTCTTCCTCCTTCCGATCCATATATTTCATTCCTT